CNGATTTTTTTACCAAGTACATGGCTCGCGCGGCGAGGGGGAAGGGGCGTGCTCGCGGGAGCCAATCCAAGGATATTTGGACGCGGGAGGAGTGCGGGAGCTTGAACTTCTTTGATCACCAAATGGTCGAAGAATGGTCGAAGGATCAGGTGAAGATGCCCGCCGCGCAACCGCCGCGGTTGGCCTGCCCGAATTTCGCGGTCAGGACTGCTTATGAGAGCGGGGTGCGTCGCCTAATGCGCTAGAGAGAGAGCTATAAAGCAATCTCGGGTGAAATTTGGGACGAAAACTATTCTCGCGTGATCACCGACCGGAGCGCCGTCGGGGGACAGGCGCCGCGCTTGGACCAAAGGCCCGTGGCGTGGTCCCGGGCGTAGCCCTCGGCGTCGAGCTGCGCCTGGGTCATGAAGGCGCCCTTTCCGGGGCCGCGAGCCCGCGTGCCTCTGGCGGCTCTCGGCCTTGGGCTTCGCGACGCGGCGGCGGCCCTCGCGCGGGTCGAGCCACGCGGGGAGAGGGCCGACGGAGCGCAGGACGTCGAGGTCGCGGCGCCGCGTGTGGACCCGGGTCCAGGGGCTGGTCCCATCCCGGCTCCGGGGCGCCGTCCGCGCGCGCGGCCGGCGGCGGCGCGGCGCGTTCGTCGGGCGGCCGGTCGAACTTGGCGGCGTCGCGGCGGTCGCCGAGGAGGCGGCTCTGGTGCTCGCCGGCGCCGCGCTCGCCGCGGCGCGACGGCGCGGTCGCCGCGGCGCGGCCCTCGAGCTCGCGGGTCGTCGGCTCCCGACGGCGTCGTCACCGCGGCCGCTTGCGCGCCGTGACGACGGCGTTCTTCGGCGAGCCCATGTCCGGCGCGAAGTCGAGGCGCGCGTCCGGGCAGTCGCGGCGGCAGACGCCGAGGAGCGCGTCGGCGAGGACGTCGTAGAGGCTCCGGCCCTGGGCCCTGGCGAGGCCCTTGGCGCGCTTCCCGAGCGTGCCCTTGGCGCAGCACGGCACGACGGCGAGGGCCTCGACGGCGCCGCAGTCCGCCGCGACGGCGAGCACGCGCGGCGCGAGGGCCCCGCAGACGTGGAGGCCGAGGAGCACGGCGCGCCGCCCCCGCGCCGCGCGGCATAGCTCCGCCGGCGCCGCGCGCGAGAAGACGTCGAGCGGCGCGTAGGCCACCTGTGTGGAAATCAAACCTTCAACCCGACTTCAATGTGAGCGTAATTGAACGAGTTGCGCCGGACTCTTCGGCTGTGCTTCGAGAACTCGACGAGAGCGATCGATTCGTCCAAAAATCAGCCAAATCGACTTCGATTTGACCGAGCTAGAGAATTCTGAAGTTTGGCCCCGACGTCCCAGCTCACTGGTTGATTTCCACACAGTAGGCCACGTTGGCCCGGCTCCGGACGTGCGACAGGTCCATCGCCGGGTTCGAGTCGAACATGACGACGCGCGCGCGGGGGAAGAGGTAGCTCAGGAGCAGCGCGACGACGCCGCGGCCGCTGCAGACGTCGAGGATCGCGAGCTCGTCCTCGGGGACCTGCGTGGCATTCAAATCTTCAACCCGACTTCAACGTGCGCGTATGCGACGGTGTCGACGCGAGCTCTTCGGCCGCGCTTCGAGGACTCGACGAGAGCCATCGATTCGTCCAAAAATCAGCCGAATCGACGTCGATGCGATCGAGCTCGAGAATTCTCAAGTTTGGTCGGGACCACCCAAACCAGTGGTTGAATGCCACACAGTCGGGGACGGGCGCCGCGAGGCCCCGGAGCGCGTCCGCGGCCGCGTAGGCCTCGCAGACCTCCTTCGGCGCGCCCTTCGTCGCGAGGAGGCGGCGGATCGCGCCGTCCGCGACGGCCTCGTCGTAAAAGTCCGCCGCGAGGAAGGCCGCGAGCCGCGGCAGCGCCGCGCTCTTGCGCCGGAGCCGCGCGGTGAGCGCCGCCGCGGACGTGCCGCAGGCCCGCGGCGGCGCGTCCTCGAGGCTCGCCTCCGCGCGGCCCCGCGCGGGCCGCTCGGCCGCGCTCGGCCCCGCGCCGCCGTAGGCCGCGACGGCCGCGCCGCCGCGGCCCGCGCGCCACGCGAGCACGGCGTCGACGACGGCGCCCGGGTCCGGGTGCGGCCGCTTGCACGCGCCGCGCGTGCAGCGCCGCCTCCGGTCCTCGACGCCGAGCGCCGCGGCGACGGCGCCGCCGCAGGCCCCGGCGAAGACGTGCGCGCGCGCGCCGCCACAGTCGCAGGGCCGGCCGGCGACGTGGGCCCAGCAGACGAGCGACGTCGCGAGGACGCCGTCGACGGCGAGCGCGGCCCGCGGCGCCCGCGCCTGGCGCCACGCGACGTCGACGATGGCCTCCAGGGACCAGACCGCGGCCTCCTTCGCCCAGCCGGCGCCCGGCCGCGCCAGCGCGACGTCCGCGGCGGCGGCTCGCGCGGTGGCTCGCGCGGCGCGCGCGTCCGCTTCGATCGCTGCGGCGCCCGGCGCGGTGGCTCGCGCGGCGCGCGCGGCCGGCGCGGTCGCAGCGGCGCCCGGCGCGGTGGATTGCGCGGCGCGCGCGGCCGGCGCGGTCGCAGCGGCGCCCGGCGCGGTCGCTGCGGCCGCATGCGCTGTCGCCGTCGCGGCGCGACACTCCGCTTCGACCGCTGCGGCGTCCGTCGTGCTTACTGCAGCTGCAAACGCGACTGCGAGGTCTGCGAGGTCGCTTTCATCGCCTGGAACACCCATGCGCGCGGCACGCACCGAGACCGACCTTGACGACATGTTGACGCTGGCGAGCTGCGGCGGGCGGAGCATGGGGAAGAAGCGCAAGGCGTCGTCGACGGCGCCGCTCGTGGCGCCGCCGATGACGTCGCGGCGCGTCGCGCGGCAGGTCACGTCCAAGTTCCACAAGCTCACGTCCGACCTCGCGACGTCGACGTCGTCGGCGGCGCGGGCGGAGCTGGCGCGGGAGCTCGAGGGCATGGGCGGCCGCGCGCGCTACCAGGAGGCGAGCGCCCTGTCGACGTCGCTCTACAGCACGTCGAAGTGGGTCCTCAAGGTCCTGCGGCGGCGCGGCGTCGTCGGCGGCGGCGGCGCGGCGCCGCGGCTCCTGGAGGTCGGGGCGATCAACACGCAGCTCCTCGACGCGCCGGGCGTCGAGACGCGCGCCATCGACCTGCGGTCCACGCACGAGCGCGTCGAGCGCGTCGACTTCCTCGACCTCGCGCCGGCCGGCGCCTGGGACGTCGTCGTCTGCGCGCTCGTGCTCAACTGCGTGCCGAGCCCCCGAGCGCGGGGCCGCGCGGTCGCGAACCTCGCGGCGCACCTCAAGCCCGCGGGCCTCTGCTTCGTCGTGCTCCCGCTGACCTGCCTCGAGCGGTCGTCGAAGACGACGCCCGGCGCCTTCGACGCCGCGCTCGCGGCCGCGGGCCTCCGCGAGCTCGAGCGCCGCGCGACGCCCAAGCTCCTCCACCTCTGCCTCGAGCGGAGCGACGCGCCGGACCCGCGGCCGGCCGCGCCGGCGGCCGGCGCCGAGCTCCGGCCCCGCCGGAAGAAGACCAACGACTTCCACGTCGTCCTGCCCGGCGCGGCGGCCCCGACGACGGCGACGCGGCGGACGCGGGCGTGAGGCGATCGCGCGCGCGCGCGCGCGCGCGTCCCTCGGAGGCGTTACTTGCCCTTGGCCGCGGCCGCGAGCGCGCGGAGCGCGGGCCGGATGCTGAACGCGTCGCCCGAGGGCCCCGCGGCCGCGAGGAGGGGCATGACGAAGCCGAAGGCGAAGAGGAAGCTGTACAAGATCGTCGTGAAGATGAGCAGGCCGAGCTTGAAGAAGAACTGGAGCTGGCAGGGGAGCATGAACGCGCCCGCGCCGAGCGTCGTCACGGCGCCGCCGACGACCGTGGGCCCCATCTTCTCGATGGAGAAGGCGAAGCGGTCGAGGCGGTGCTTCGCGCCGTGCTCCTTGTCCGCCGCGACGTACATGTGGCCCAGGTGGATCGTGTAGTCCACGGAGAAGCCGATGACCATGACGCCCGCGAGCGACTCGATGATGCCCAGGTCCCAGCCGAAGACCGACTGCGCCGTGCCCAGCACCGACGCGACGACGAAGGCGATGCCGACGATGGAGTAGAGGCTCACGAGCACGTTCTCCGTCGCGAAGATGAGCACGCCGAAGGCGATGGGGAAGCAGATGTAGAAGCCCTCGAAGAGCGACGCGCGGAGCTCGATGAACGTGTCGCACCACAAAAACTGCCACGCGCCGTCGTAGGAGAGGTGGCCGCCCTGCGCCGGCAGCAGGCCCTGCCGCGCCTCCGTGAACTTGACGACGCGGTTGATGACCTTCTTCCGCGCGCGGATGCCCCGGTTGAGCTTCATCGTGAGGTACGTCGGCACGGTCACGTACCTTAAGCTCCCGTCGACGACGCCGACGTAGTCCTTCCACGACGTGCCGTCGAACTGCGCGCGCGAAGTACTCGAAGCGGAAGACGAAGCGGTAGACGAACGCGGTGATCGGCACGGACATGAGGATCTGCGCCATGCACGCGGCCGTGTACGCGCAGGACCCCGTGTGGATCCGCACCCAGAACGTGACGAAGAGGATCGTGAAGAGCATGTAGACGGAATCCATCTCCTGCATGCGCAGCCACTCGAGCCGCTGGAGGAGCCACGCGAAGCACCGGAAGTCGACGCCGCCGTAGCGCCACTCGTCGAGGTACGCGCTCAACAGCACCGTGCTCTCGACGCCGAAGAGGTCCCACCAGTCGAGCTCCACGTCGCCGAAGAAGTCGAGGTATTTGAGCAGCTGCGCCTCCGTGTCGTCCGTCGTGCTGTCGTAGCCCTCGAGGGGCTGGCCGACGTAGAGCAGGCTCCGCGTCTTCGTCGTGGCGCCGGCCTCGAGCGCGCCGTTCTCCATGTAGACGCCGTTCTCCAGGAGCCCGGCGACGGACGAGTTCGCCGCGGCGACCATGGCGCTCCACGTGGCGTCGACGGCCGCCGCGTCGAGGAGGTCGCAGTCCGCGGACCCGCCCGTGACCAGCGCGCCCATCCACGCGTCGCCGTAGAACTTGCGCAGCACGGAGAGCTGGGGCGCGACGCAGGCGCCGCCGGCGTCGATCATGCAGACCTTGGACCACTCCTTCTGCCGGTAGAACGCGGACTCGATGGCGCAGATCGTCCGCAGAGTCTCGGGCGTGAAGACGTGGCCGCCCGGCCCCTTGTACTCGATCCAGGTCCCCAGCAGGTCGTACTGGGACCGCCGGCTCGGGTCGCTCACGGCGCTCAGGGCGTCGACCTCCTCGACGGCCTCGAGGCGCATGTCGCGGTACTTCGTCGCGCGCTTCTCGTTGATGATCCACGCGTACTGGTACTGCGGGCTGAGCACGAGGGACTGGGCGGCCATGCCCACGAGGGCGAGGAAGATGTAGCCGCCCGTGACGCACCAGAAGGCCTTGCGGCGCTTGCCGACGACGAACCTGAGGAAGGTGAGGCAGAGGCGGTCGAAGCGCCCGAGGCGCCGCGTGACGTCGTCCGTGTGCGGCAGGAAGGGCATCATGGCCAGCGTCACGGCGCCGGAGCCGCCGTCGACGGCGTAGGAGATGGGCGTCGCCTCGCCCTTGGGCGCCGCCTTGTCCGGCGGCGGCGGCGGCGCCGCGTCGGCGGACTCGTCGGCCATCTCGAACGAGGCTGCCCCCGTGGAAGACGACGGGCGTTTTTCGTGGCGGCGCTACGGTTTCCTGTAGCCGAATGACGGTTTTGGCCGTCATTCGGCCGGCCCGAGCCGTCATTCCGTCCCCGAATGACGGTCTGGGGCTGCGGCGCGAGTTTCGCCCGGTTTCGGCCGCCGCGCGGCCCGTCGCCCGCGCCGCGAAGTCGGTTTCCGGGGCGTCGACCCCCCCGGGCCGCCCCGGAGCGCTTCCGCCGGCGCGCATCGGCGCGGTGGTCGCCGCGGGCTGCCCCTCGCCCCGCGGCGGCATGGACGCGCCGCCCGACGACGACGACGACGACGTCGTCTGCCTGTCGCCGCCGCCGACGCGGTCCGCGGGCGCGCCCGAGGCGCTGGGCGAGCCCTGGACCGCCAGGTCTTCGACTGCGCGCGCGCGCGGCCCGTCGACGCCGCCGCCGTCGCGCCGCGCGGCCGCCGCGGGCAGCCCCGCGGAGCCGAGCGACGACGAGGTCTTCTGCCTAGCGCCCCCGCCGACGCGATCCGCGCGCACGCCCGAGGCGCCGGGCGAGCCCTCGAGCTCCAGGTTTTTCTCCGTCGCCGCCGCCGCCGCGGCCGCGCGGCCGCCGCGGGCAGCCCCGCGGACACGAGCGACGACGAGCTCGTTTGCCTGTCGCCTCCGCCGTCCGCGACGCGGTCCGGGACCGCGGCATCGCTGCCGAGGTCGCCTGAGCCGCCCGCGCGCGTCCGGTCGCCGCCGCGCGACGCTCCGACCGCGTCGCGCGCCAGCCCCGCGGACACGGGCGACGACGAGCGACGACCACTTGTCGCCGCCCCGACATGCGCGTCGAACGGCGGTGCGGTTCCGTGGAGGTCGCTCACGTCGCCCGGCGTCGCGCGTGGACCCGGTCGCGCCCTGCCGCGGGAAGGCTCGCCCGGCGAGCCATTGCCATCGCCTGGGTTCTCTAAACACCCACGACGATACTATAGGACGTAGGCCCCACTTAAGTACACCTGCGCGGTCGGCGCGACCTCGGGACCGCTGCTCTTACTGCCACCGATCCACCGGGGCGGTGGTATGGTGCGCGGCGCCAACCGAGTCGCCCGACCTCAGCACCACAGCACCAGGTTCGCGTTCGTCCCGGATCGGTGACGTGCAATCGGATTGCTCGTCGCTCGTGCCCGCGGGGCTGCCCGCGGCGGCCGCGACGGCGACGGACCGCGCGCGCGCGCGGTCGAAAATCTCAGCAGGGCTGGAGCTCGAGGGCTCGCATGGCGCCTCGGGCGCGCCCGCGGACCGCGGCGGCGGCATCAATAAGCGCACGACGTCGCTGTCAAGGCAGCGGCGGCGGCATGGATGCCGCCGCGGGCGAGAGCAGCCCGCGGCGACCGTTGCAACCGAGCCGCAGCGGGCGAGACAGCGGATGGCAGCCCCGTGGGGCAAAGAGGACTGACGGAAAGCCTGCGGACCACGGCAGTGCCTCTATGGCGCCGCACGGCGCCGTCGACGGGCCAGGTTTCGGTAGCTGGTTTCTGTCTCGGAGTGACAAGAACCGTCATTAACACAATAATACCGTCACTCCTTGAATTATATAGTTAGTGTTGAACGTCATTCGAAGGGTGGGAATCTATTGGTTTCCAACGAGGCTTCAACGCCGCCCGGGCGCCGGCGGCGCCGCCGCCGCGCGACCCTCGCGCGCGCGCGCGGAGCGAGCCCCCGGCCCCGAGACACACAGACGCCCTAGCTCAGGAAGGAGAACCCGCTGCAGGCGAAGGACCCGGCCGCGGGCCCGCCGCAGAAGAAGGCGGCCTCCGCGTCCGCGTCGTCGTCGCTGTCGTCGCCGTGGGCCGGCGCGTCGGCGGGGATCTTCACGGAGACGAAGCAGTCGTTGGCCTCGTCGAAGGACCGGCGGCTCGTGCCCCGGAGCGCGTCCCGCAGCTCCGACGACGCGCCGCGCGTCGGCTCCTTGGCGCCGTGGTCGCCCTGGGCCCAGCCGCAGACGCACGAGTCGTAGCTCCGCCCGCTCAGGTCGCGGCGGAAGTTGCGGCAGGGCCGCGGCGCCCCGCCGCGCGCGACGTCGCCGCGGAGCCGCTCGCGGAGGTCGTCGCCGTCGTGCAGCTCGACGGCTCCGTTGATCGATTCGCGCTTGCTCAGCTTCCGCCGCAGCTCCGGCGACTGGAGCGTCGCCGGCGGGCCGTGGGCGCGCTTCGGGAAGCCGCAGCGCCGGCACGTCGTGTGGCCGATCTCCGCCGCGAGGTCGAGCGCGAAGGACCCGCAGGGCGCGCAGGGCTCGCTCGCGGCGGGCGGCGCGGGGCCCGGCATGGCGCGCGCGGCGGCTGTGTCCGGGAGCCGGCGCCTCGCTGCGCGCGGCGGCTTTTTTGGGAGCCTTTCGCGGCGCGCGACAGGTGCGGGCGCCGCGCCGCGCGACCGGGACGCGGAGTGACAGGTCGGGCCGGGCGCACCAGCGGGGCAGCCCGACACGAAGGGCGACATCTGGTCAACACGCTCATCGAGCAGTTTGCTCCCTGTCGACTGTGCCACACAGGCCTGATTCTATCGCCGGCCGAGCTCGTCGGCCGCTCGTGCGCCACCATCCGTGCCGCCTGCGTCCTCTGCGTCGTCGCGGCGGTCTCCGCGTTCCACTCGCCGCCGCGCCGACGCCCCGGCGCCATGGCCTCGCACGTCGAAAAAAACGACGTCGAGGCGATCATGAAGGGCAGCGAGGCGGCCAAGGCGAGCGACTACGCCAACTACTTCAGCTCCTACGCCTTCATCTACCACCAGAAGCAGATGCTCAGCGACGGCGCGCGCATGCGCGCCTACCGCGACGCCATCCTCGGCAACCCTGAGTGCTTCGCGGGCAAGGTCGTCCTCGACGTCGGCGCCGGGTCCGGCATCCTCAGCATGTGGGCGGCGCAGGCCGGCGCGAAACGCGTCATCGCCTGCGAGTTCACGAAGATGGCCGACCACGCCGAGGCGCTCGTGGCGGCCAACGGCCTCCAGGACGTCGTCGAGGTCCGCCGGTCCGCGGCCGAGACGCTCGACCTGAAAAAGGGCGACGTCGACGTCATCGTGAGCGAGTGGATGGGCTACTTCCTCCTGCGCGAGTCCATGCTCGACAGCGTCATCTACGCGCGGGACCACTACCTCAAGGACGGCGGCGCCCTCTTCCCGAACCGGGCCGCGCTCTTCTGGGCGCCCGCGAGCCTCCACGGCGCGCGCCCGCGCGGACGCCGACCGGCGAGCCGGGACGTCGGGGCCGCGCGTCAGCAAGGACGGCTCTCGCTCGGTCCCATCGACGTCGATTCGGCCCATGTTTGGACGGATCGATCGCTCCCGTCGAGGTCTCGACGCGCGGCGGAAGCGCGGCCGTCCGAACGGTCGACGACGCGCGCGTCGAAGCCGGGTCGAAGATGCGAGTCCCACGCAGGCGAGCGCGACGTCAAGCTCGCGGAGAAGGCCGACGCGATGGCCGACTGGGACGCCTTCCAGGACGCGACGCGGGCCGACTTCGGCGTCGACGTCTCCGTGCTCCGGGCGCCCTACGTCGCCGAGCAGGACGACTACTACCTGCGCCCGGCCGCGCGGCACGGGGCCGCCGGCCCGGGGGACCCCCGCCGCGCGTCGGCACGCGCGAGCTCGGTCGACGTCGAGCGCTCGAGGGGGGGGGGCGACGGGGCCGGCGGACGCCGTCCCCCGGCGCGCGCGCCGCGGTCGGGTCGAAGATGCGAGCGCCGCGCAGGCGCCAGGCCCACTGGATGGAGATGCGCGACGACATGCTCGCGGCGCCGCCGGCGCGCATCGGCGTCATCGACCTCAACACGTGCACGCTCGCCGAGTCGCGGGGCATCGAGGACGCGCCCTTCCGCTTCCCCGTGCCCCTGGACCGCTGCGCGGCGTTCGCCGGATGGTTCGACACGTACTTCGAGGGCTCGCCGAGCTGCCCGGCGAAGAACCCCGTGACGCTGTCGACGTCGCCGGCCGACGGCTACACGCACTGGGGCCAGCAGGTCTTCTTCGTGCCGCCGGCCAAGGTCGAGGCCGCCGTCGCCGACGCCGGCGGCCACCCGCGCGGGCCCTCCTCGACGGTCGGGACCATCTCCCTGCGACGACAGAAGGAGGCCGTCCGCCTCTACAACATCGCCGTCAAGCTCGAGGTCGTCCCGGACGACCCGACGACCCTCGACCTCGACTGGGAGCTCTCCTAGGCGCGCGCCGCGCGCCCCGTCTCCCTATACACCGTCGCCCCGGTTCCGCCGACTCGACCTCCTCGCGGCTCGGCGGCACCGCTCCCCGGGCCCAGGAGCTCGTCGCGCGTCGGAGCGCTCATCGGCCCGGCGGAGTGGGTCCGACGAGGCCCCGGTGTGCCCATGCTCGAGGCCATGCATGATCTCGAGGAGGCCCCGGGCGGCACAGTACGTTAAGATATGCGTTACTTAAGAGTATGTATATACATAGATTACAACTTCCTCCAGAATAAACGCAAATTGTACTTAAAGATGTTGAGCGGGCGATTTTGGGGGCACTGACCTCGTCTTTCAACAAATTTGGCAGACTCTTGCCACTGAGTCTTCACCGCGATCGCCATGCGGTCCCTCTCGCTCGCGCTGCTGCTGCTGCCCGGCGCGCGCGGCTTCGGCTACTTCGTGCGCACGGAGGCGCCGAGCGGCTGCCCGACGGCCGAGCCGACGACGGCGCTGCCGTCCTACGGGCCCACGCCGACCCCCACGTCGTGCCCCCCCGGCGCCGACGACGGGTGATTCGAGTCCGCATCCGCCCGCGATCGTTCCGGAGCACGGATCCGCGCGTCGAGGCCGGGAGACGGTCGCTCGCTCGCCCGAGACTTGGACGGGGCCGCGCGGCGCGCCTCTTCCGTCGCGCGCGTCGCACCCCGCCGCCGCGCAGGGACCCCACGTCCGTCCCCACCTCTTTCGTCTACGGCGGGGACGGCGACGACACGCTCTCGGGTGGCGGGACGTCTACCTATGGGTTCTACGGGGGCGACGGCGACGACAACATCACGCTCGAAAGTCTTTACTACAGTGTAGTTCTTTCCTACGGCCAGAAGCTCGTGGACGGGGGCAACGGCAGCGACACGATCCGAGTGACGGGGGCTTACTTCGACGGCATCTTCGGGGGCGCGGGCGACGACGCGATCATCACCGAAGGCGACTTCGTCAATTCCGTCTACGGCGGGGACGGCGACGACACCATCACCGCGACGGGGTTCATGAACTATCGCTTCTACGGGGGCGCCGGCGACGACGACATCACGATCAACACCGACTACGGTGATGAGTTCGTCGCCCCAAATTTTGAAACGGGCGACGACACCATAGTCGACAAGGTCGTGGACGGGGGCGACGGCGACGACACGATCTCGGTGAACGGGAATTCGAATTTTGGCATCTTCGGGGGCGCGGGCGACGACGTGATCAGCACCGCGGGCGACTACGTCAAATCTGTCTACGGCGGGGACGGCGACGACACCATCACTTCGAATGGGAATGGCAACATGAGGTTCTACGGGGGCGACGGCAACGACAACATCACGATGGTAACCAGCCGGGCCAACAGCCCGGGTTTCACTCCCTTCGCCGGAACCGTGAAAACGGTCGACGGGGGCGACGGCAACGACACGATCACGGTGCTCGGGGACGAGAATGAGGGCATCTTCGGGGGCAGGGGCGACGACACTATATATATCGCCGGGTGGGTGGAAACAGATTACGACGGGAGCAACGGCCAAATCATCCAAGGATCTGCGGTCCATTTTGTTTACGGCGGGGACGGCGACGACGTGATCGAAGCGAATAGTTTCTGCGCCTCCGCGTTCCACGGGGACGCAGGCGACGACAAGATCTACGTCCAAGGGGAATACGCGGGCATGAACTACTGCGGTAGTGGAGGCCAGTATATGAACGCAGCTTACGGAGGTATCTTCGGCGACGACGGCGACGACTCCATATCGGTCGTCGGCGATTATATGGCGAATCTCCACGGCGGCGAGGGAGACGACACGATTCACGTCGACGGATATTTTTTCCCCTCTTATATGAACACGTTCAACGGAGGCGGGGGCACCGACACGCTCTGCGCGATGACCGACGGCGTGAGCGACCCCCACGACTACTGGGACCCCGGTTTTGGGGGCGCTGGCTGGTCCAACCAAGCTGCTGGCGAGTTTGAAATCATAGACTTCACCAACATCGCGCCATCCGGGGCGGGGGATGACGACTACTATTGGCAGAACTTCCAGCACTACTGCCACACGTACGACGGAACGGACTGGAAGTTCTACTTTAACGGGGCGCTGGCTCACACCGAGACCGTGGCCCTGGACACCGGCTCCGACAACCCGCTGACGCTCGGAGTGCGCTACTCGAGCGGGTACTCGGGCTACTTCAGCGGCAAGATAGACGATGTCTACGTCTACTCGAGCGCGCTCAACGCGGCCTCGATCGAGGTCCTCTACAACGAAGTGGCAAGATAGACGATGTCTCCGTCTACTCGAGCGCGCTCGACGCGGCCTCGGTCGAGCTCCTCTACGACGACGGCTCTCGTAGAGCCGACCGTCGTCCATTCACCGACGGGAGCCGACCGTCGTTCATTCGCCTCGTCGAACCGACCGACCGAAACCACCTCCCCCCCCCTCCACCCTGGCTTCTCCTGCCTTGGAAGCAACCTTCTCCACCCTTGGAACGACCCGCCCCTCCCCCCCGCCTTCTCCCCCCTCGGAAGCCTAAGATGCAGCGGCTTAGCCCTGCGGGAGAGGCGCCCCCGCCTAGCGCTCGACGTCGCGGCTGAGCTCCGTGGCGACCGCGGCGAGGATGAGGCCGCCGCCCGCGACCGTCGCGGCCGTCGGCCGCTCGCCGAGGAGGCCAAAGGCGAAGAGCGCGCTGAAGACGGGCTGGGACGTGTAGATCAGGTTCGCCCGCGACGGCGCCACGCCGCGCTGGCCGAAGGACTGGGCCCAGATCGTGTACGCGCACGTCGCCTGGGCAGGACGAGAGTGCGAACTTCCCAACTTCAAAGGCTCCTCTCTCGGCCATTTTCCACTCGTTTCGGCTGATTTTTGGACGAGCGATCATCTCTCGGAACGGTCTCGAAGCGTGGATGCTTTTCCCAGAACGCGCGCGCGCGGAACACTCACGTTGAAGCGACGTTGAATCACCCTTGTCCTGCCCCGCACGTCGCGGCGCCGCACCACAGCACGGCCGCGCCGAGCGCGGCGGCCTCCTCGGGCGTCCGCGACGCCTCGAGGAAGCGCCGCCCCCCCTCGAAGGGCGTCGCCAGCGCGAGGAACGCGACGCCGCCGAGCGCGAACGCCGCCTCCCAGCCCGCCTTGGCCGTCGCGAGGCCGAGCGCGGACGCCGACGGCGCGAGCGCCTGCGCGGGACGGGAGCGATTCAAGTTCGCTTCAACGTGAGTGTTCCGCGCGCGCGCGTTCCGGAACAAGCATCCACGCGTCGAGACCGTTCCGAGAGACGATCGCTCGTCCAAAAATCAGCCGAAACGAGTGGAGAACGACCGAGATCGGAGCCTTGAGCATTTCGCGCTCTTTTCCCGCGCCGGCGAGCGCCGAGAGCCGGACGACGTGGAGGCTGTAGAGCACGGCGGCGGCCACGACGCACAGGTCGCCGGAGACCTGGCCCGCGTCCGCGGCCAGGCCCTCGGCGCAGAGCACGGCGACGCCCGAAAAGGCCACGGCGCACGCCAATTGCGTCTCCCGCGCGACGGCGCGCCCCGTCGCCGCGGACTCGAGCACGGGCACGAGCACCGTCGTGAGCTGGACGAGGAAGGCCGCGGCGTCGGCGGAGACGGTCTCCAGGCCGACGACCTGGAAGAGGTTCCCCGCGTAGAGGTAGGCGCCGAGCTCGAGCCCCGCGCGCGCCGCGCCCTCGTCCGCCGCCGCCGCGCCCGGCGCCGCGGCGGCGCGGCCGAGGGCGCCGAGGCAGCCGAGGGCGACGACGTAGTAGAAGAGCGAGAACACGGCGCCGGGCGGCGGCGCGGGCAGCGCGTAGACGGCCTTGACGGCCGGCGCGTAGGTGCCCCAGACCACGGGCACGCTGCAGAGCACGGCGACGCGCGCGGCGTCGGAGGCGCGCGGGTCGTCGTCCCGCGCGACGAAGGCGCGCGTGCGCGGCGCGCGGAGCCCGCGGGCGGGCGCCCGGAAGGCCGCGGCCGCGCCGACGACGAGGCACGCGCGCAGCCACATCAGATCCACATCATCGTCACGAACTCTTGCAAAAACGCTTTCTGGCCCAGCAAGGCCTGCCCGCGCGCCGCGCGCGCCGCCCACGCCGGCGCCGACGCGCGCCGCCGATTCCCTTCGCGCGCGCGATGGACGCGGTCAAGCTCAACCCGAAGGCCTTCGCCGCCGCCGCGTCCTGGCTCGAGGGCTACGACGACGGCGGCGCCGCGCCGGACGCCGGCGCCGACGCCCACGCGCCGCTGTCGTCGCGCGCGGGCCTCGGGTCCGCGCCGGCGCGGCCCAGGGGCCAGGCCGAGACGTCGCTCGCCGCGCGCCTCGAGCGGGACCGGCGGCGGAAGCGCGGCGACGACGCCGACGACGCCGCGGCCGACGCCGCGCGCCGCGGCGGCTCGGACAGCAGCAGCGACGACGAGGCGGAGAGCCGCTACGCGCGCGGGTGCAAGCGCGCCGCCGACGACGCGCCGCGCGCGCCGGCCGCGCCGCCGCCGGCGAAGCGGAAGAAGAAGCAGAAGAAGAAGAAGAAGAAGCAACAGCCCGCGGGCTAACTTTGCACACTCGTCGTGCGACGGGATTCCTCTGGCGCGGGTGGGTGGCGACACGAGCGCGTCGTCGTCCGGTCCGGCGGGATGTATTCGTAGGAGGTTCGCAGCCCGCGGAGAGTATGGTGGGCCTAGACTTCAACGACGATGATGACTTTCTGAGTGCACTATTAAAAGGCCACCCACAGCTCGTGGTCTGGGCTGGGGCCGCCGATTTCTGCCATGAGCGCGGCGGAGAAGAAGATCGGGGATCCTCA